GCCAGCTAAAATGATTGGTCGTGCTTTTTACAGTACTACGGCTTCCACAGATGACATTTTGTTATGGATTTTTTGTCAAAGCACTTAAGATATTCATTGCTATCGGGATGTTAAGAGCATTCCATTGAATATAACAAAAAGTGTATCTCGAGCCGGTTTCTCAAACTTACCTACCCCACCTTTAAAGGATGTAATCTTAAAATAACTCATATTATACGTTGTTAGCACTATGAGGTATTGGTAGATGTGGAACAAATAACAAACGTTTAAGTTGTTATTGGCCCATAATAGAAATTATAGTCCAATAATAACGTGTTGCTGTTGCTATCACCTCGAGATAAAGACCTGAGCACATGGTCTGCTATTTCATCATTTTGGTGGCTGCACATTGTGAGATGATGACGAAGAAGGGCTGGTTAATTTCCTAGAAGTCTTATAAAAGTAAAAGGGAATAATGAAAATGTCAGATAGATGTTCTTCAGAGATACCGTTATTTTCCGTAGATGGAGCCCTGCACATAAAGTTTGGAGGGAAATTATAAAAAGGTGTGAATTAAAATATTTCACAAAAGGTTTTGGAGTTAGAATAATAACATTTCTTGTTTCACAGGTGTTAAATTAAACTTGTAATTCGATGCATTTCTACTTCTTGTGATTTTAATGGACTACTGCAGCCTCTTTTGTTGACACTCAGAACCGACATTGTTAAACAAATAGGTTCACTGTTAACGTCGAGTCAGCACCTGAGATGAATAATAAAAGTGGGAACAATGCTCCCAGCTGTAAGTAACCTGTGTGCAGAAACATGCACTCTGCACAAACACATTATCTGGAAGGGAGTGAGCACATTATACAGAGAGTCCGATGGAGGGGATGAAATAAGAGATGGGTGTGGTGGAGATGTGTGACCTACAGTGTGTGTGAAACTGTAGCAGCAACCTGACTGAGGTCCAGGAGAGAGTAAATCTGAGACATAAACACAAAGTGGACAGAGATCAATATCAAAATGTGCTGCCCTTAAATTCTTTGAAAATGCCAAAACAACATCAAACCAACTACTCCTGATAGGGCTGTGCAATTAATCGTATTTTAATCGCGATTACGATTTTGGCCTGCCACAATTACGAAAACAACATAATCGAAAAAAACAATTATTTTGCTTTGCTAGGTTGTGACAGTGCACTGCAACATATTTGATCTAATTCATTTTGGTCTCATTTATTTGTATTTATCATATTTATATATGTTTAGTAGCTTGTGGAAGTGCGCTCCAAATATTTGTTGATCTTGTTTATTGGTATTTATTATTTTGATATTATTTATTTAAATGTATCATTTATTTTTGTATTGGTTTTTCAGTTGAATTATACGTTCAGGGTAATCAACAGTTAAAAAGATACTGTTCAAATTATTATTTGTATTTGTTTTAAAGTTCAATAAATGGATTTTTTCAAAGTCAATGAATAATCGTATTTAATAATCGTGATATCAATTATTGACCCATATAATCGTGATTATGATTTTTGGCATTATCGCACAGCCCTAACTCCTGATGTACATTAACAGAATAAGAGACATGGGGAAAACTGAGCATTCAACTCTGTAACATAATCCATACAGCTATGTACACAAGCTGTGAGAGAAAAGGTTCCTTTGTTGTGGTCAATATCGTTTTGACTGCAGCGACACTTAGCCTGGTAATAAGGGAATCAATAGTAAACTATTCCTGTAGTGTGTTTACACAAAAACCAGTTCGTCCAGACATGGCGACACACACTCACACACACTTGTCCTTTTAGGGGAGCGTCTCTTATGCTCAAGGAACATTTGATTTATTTGTTATTTCATAAGCTACCAGACTGTTTCCGATCAACGAGGCAATACAGATTGTTACAGTAGGTGCTTTAAGAAAGAAGAAGAGAAGCAGATGTGAAAATATGGAAAGTATGTGCTTCACTATCAGTGATGAAATGTAACAGTAAAAGTACTTTACTCATGAAACTAAGTATACATTTGAGGGTGCCAGTATTCCTTTTGATGCTGCCATACTCTCCTGCTACATTCAAGGGAAATAGTGTACTATCTATACATTACATTCCTTTGCCAGCTTTAGTAACTAGCTCTTTCACAGTTTACATTTTACATAAAAATGCATAGCAGTTTTTATAAGATAATGTACACTTAAGTATTCCAAAGTATATAAAAGTCCTTAAAAAACAGAAAATAGCCCCAACATGGACAACTGGAAATCTAAAATGTTACATACACCTAAATACATCATTGAAAATAATAATACAATAAGAGGAATAGTTAACATATAGTAAGTACATTTTGAGTACTTTAAACTTTAAAGTACTCGACAAAAAATAAAATACTTGTTGATACTTTAAAGTTTAAAAGTATCAACAAGTATTTTATTTTTTGTCAAGTGCAATTTCTATTCAGGACTTTATAAATAATTAAGTATTTAAATTGTATTACTGACAATTTTACTCTCGTAAAGTATCTCAAAAGTGTTTCCACCACTCCTTGGCATTAGAGATAACTTTTGGAGAACGACCTTCTCCACGCGCAGACATGCGCAGTGACGTCATTGTGCGCACTTTCAACGACTCTCTGCTCAAAGCACTAAAAGATAACAAACTGATAACTCAAAATGTGACTCAAGTAAAACCAAAGAAACGGGAGTATGTTTAAAGCCATGGCACATTTCTTAAAAAAAAGCTTTTTGGAAACGACGTCACGGTCAAACATGGCAGCCCGGTCCAACAGGTGGTTTGGAGGAAACTTGTGCCTCCACTTTAAACAACGGAACACTATAGCAGGCTAATGGAAGGAGAGCCTTTCAGTGACCGCTAACAGAAAGTATTTGGCCAAAGATCAATAACTTCATTTAACAACAGCGCACTTACTGTTGCTTCTGGATGTTGTCTTGTCCGAAAGTGTTTATGTTGAGTCTTCTTCCCTGCCAATAAAGCAATTATAATCCCATTGAAGCAGCGGGGGTCCTGGTCAGAGCGGGGGGAGGTCTCCACAGCGCGAGGAGGTCCTGCACGGGGGACGAGGGAATAGGGGCTGTAGGCGCCGCGCGCTCCACGGTCATTCCCGAGAGCCAGAGTCTGACCCACCCTGCCGGGTTAAAAATAAAGAGGGCGCATCCAGTACATGATCTGTGCGCGCAGGGGACGGACATTCCTGACAGAGCTGGTGACTCTAAATGGCAGAGACACTTGTGATCTCTTGTACACCACCCACCCCCACACACATACTATGCAGTCCACCCCGCCCCACCGGGATCTAATCGCACACACAACACCCACCGAGACCCTCTCAGAATTGTCACCTCCACTGCTGCCTCTGGCGTGCCATTCACATGCTGAACACAGAGCAGAGGCCTGTAGGCAGACAGATCCTGGAGAAAAGAGCCTCACATTACAAAATATACCCATCCATTACAGACAGTGGGGAAACACCTGTCGGATAATCAGTGGGGGAAAGCAAAAGTACTTTTAATATATTTAGATGTACTTCACTGGACTGATGAAACATGGGAAAAATAATCAAAACACAAAAATACTTCTCCACACTTTGTGCTTAAAAGCTTGTGACAAGTTTCCAGAGGATGCATTGCAGGCTCCTTAAAGGGGACCTATCATGCAAAATGCACTTTTGTACGTCTTTTATACATGAATATGTGTCCCCGGTGTTCCAGGGAACTCACCAAGTGTCAGAAAACACAACCCTCTCTATTTTCCTCCATACCCAAATCTCTAAAAAAGGGGCTGCAACGGATCTGATACTGTACAGACTGATCCAGATTTGAACACTTCTATGTCGTCACAGAAGTGGCGTTATGGCTATTGGGCCAACTCTCCACCTATCAGGGGAATGTGGGGTTGGGCCACGGCCGGCCATTGCCGCTCGAAAGCGCTGGAGACGCTGTAGTACATATGCCAGGCCTGTAAGTGGCGCTGTAGTCTGCCACAAAAGCAGCGAAGAAGACTTCCCGCCCATAGTTACCATGGTTACCCTTATGTTTATTCTCCGCTGTGGCTTTTTTTCCTCCCTCCTCGAGGCAAGCGTTTGCTCCCGCTGCCTTTAATTCAATGCAATCCCTCCCCGTCGAGGCAAGCACTGTAATTATCTCCGGTTAGTCCACCAGCAGATGACAAACACCCACCTCTCCGCCTCTTCCAAGGAACGAGGGGACCGTGCGGCAGAGTTTCAGTTTCAGTTTCTTTCGCCGGTCAAGATGTCCGTTAAAGTTTAAATCTTCCGGACAAAATTAGAAAAGTGCCGGTCAAAGGTCGTCTTTGTTATTTATTGAGCTTTAAAACAAATGAATAACGACTCTATATAATAAAACACGGAGGACGGAGATCTATTTTTCTCCCCCTCTTCTGACAGCCCAGCAGCTGATCAGAGCACGGCTCACCTCTCCTGCAGGGGGGCGTGGTCAGCAGAATCAGACCCGTAGACAGCAAACAGCACATAGAGCGAAATGAGGCATGGCTAAAATGCATGATCTGTTTGGTATTTTGAAAACAGAAACGTATAAATATACCTTATATAGGTATGGCCCTACAATATATCATTTGAATATAGCATGATACTGTAGGTCCACTTTAAGTTATCACTTCTTAAAATAGATTGGATATTTACAGTATCACTATATAGAACAAAAATATAAACATTTCAGAGGCATAATGTGTTTTCTTTCTGCATTTTCATGTTAATTAAACACTGCAAAGATGTCAAATTGGAAAGAAGAGGATGAATCTTAGCAAGCATGCAATGTCAGCTTTGGGTAATAGACAGTTTTCGATACTCTGAGCTTCAGACACTTTAAATCAGCACTAAAGACACAGGGGCTCAATACCCAGGCCTACTTACACTAATTGCAAATGATTAAATTAAGGGATTCAAGATTCTGATATACTGTTGACACTTAAGGAGAATTATTCACACAGAAAGATGGATACAAAAAGAGAAACACAACAATTCATTTTAAATATTGTATTCGTTAAAAACACTTAGCAACAGGAAGCAAGGCGTTTATAATAAAATACATTTACAACACAAAGTCAAAACATAAATAACATGCTTTTTACAAAATGAATTGAGCACTTGGGAACATATAAAAAAACATAATTACAAAAAGTCATCCTTCCCTGCGTGTCCTCAGTACTTGTGTCTTTGTCTTTGGTTGCCTTGGGAACATCTTTGGTATCAAACTGAGCGCTGCCAAAACGGTCCTCCACCTCAGACTACTGTATATAATATGGCTTCATATCTGGGTACAGCTGACCCAGTGAACAGTGCTGCCTTCGATCAGCGTCTGCATAGCATTTAACTACAAACAAAAACACGTTTCAAACACGTAACGTCAATAAATGCATTAAGGGTTTTGTGCAAGCAGCTGTAAACACAGCACCATGCTGTGCTCATAACAAAAATAAAAACTCCATCACTATTATAAAACACATTCAACAGCATTTCTCAAACAGAAGGCAAGAGGAACAAAATAAATAGACTTCAGAAACAAAAAGGGCGTTAAACTCAGCTTTTACAGATTCAGGTACCATATTGCGGTCATATCTTAATGCGGCTTTCACAATGAAGTTAAAGGAGGGTACAGTCCGTTGTAGAGCATCATTCCTGGATTCTCTTATCTTTTTCTCTGGATTATTCTTGCTGAAGGACACAGAATGAACCAGAGAGCTTTGGTTTCTTTTTCTAACCCACTTCTTAGGCACAAAACTGTTTTATGACTTGTTTTTGCAGTGAGTTTGGTCGAGTGGTTTCAAATGTGCAGACAAACACATACATTAAATATAACGGATAAAGAGTAAGAAAAATGGTTATTAGGATTCCTTCAATACACCACCTTACTGTTCAACACATAGCTTAGGGACTGTAGGAAAGATATGGGGAAATGAGAAGGGGGTGTGAATATATATATTTACATATATTGTCAAGGAAGAAAGGCACGCCCCCAGGGTTCTCAATGTTTTGTTAGATTTTTTTAAAAGCTGTCTTTTTATTGTAACTATTCATTTTAGAGGCATATATAAAAACAGTGAAATAAATATTCGCCCTGCTCAGAGTATCTTACTTTTCCCCCTCCTCTCACATTTTTCTGACCTCTTCTCCCCCTTAATATGTTCCGGTCCCTTAAATACATTTGCCTTAATCCTTTTGCTACAAAAACAGATGAAGGACAATAAAATGGTTATTTCCTGCAATAAAATAATCTTTTGTGAGTGGTTGAATATGCTTGAGGAAATAAATACATATACTGTACTGTAACAAATCAGGGTTAAACAAAGTTTGCAAATATTTCCTTCATATGTTTGGATGTGGTTTTCCTTCCCTTGACAATAATAGGATATAAACTGACCTTCAAATACTTCCCCTTGTAAGTACGTCTCAGTCATTCACCGTTAATTTCATTATCATATCTGACAAATCCCCTTCATCATGCATCTATGCTGACAGAAAGCATATGTATTCATCTATCTTATAGCGATACATAGAAAGTAAACACTAGCCAAATCACACTTGAGTTGTAAATGAACATCAAATCAGTGTAACCTTAGATTATGTGTTGACCGACTCTTTAACTTCAATTTAAAGGTTGTCTAGCTGTGACTTTGTTTACAAAAATGTGGATGTCCACCTTACAATATGGTAGAAATCAAGACTCCATATTGCAAACAGGCATTAAGGGCTGATACCTATTAGATTATTATAAAACTATTTCAGCACATAAATGATGTTGAAAAGTTGGATCAACTTTGTAGCCTTGGATAATTAATTAAAAAAAGCTGTCTAAATCTAAATGCAGTACATTAAATGTGTCCTGCAAAGTTCTTTCTTTTTGGCTTCTAATCTATCTTTGGTCAAATAGGTGTATGATTGTTACAAGCTTTTATGTACATTACAAATACAAAAATACAGTTTCAATATTTTATAAAAAATACCTTCATATAAAAAAAAGCTGCTTCAACTTTGTAACTGGGCATCAATATACATTAACAGTGCTTTTAGAGTATACCAGAACAAGTCAAGTAAACAAATCTCAGGTGCAAATGTAAAAGTCAGACTAACTCCAAGCTGGAGACGGTTTTAGTCGAAGTGCTCACTGCTGAGGCGTCTTCATGAGTCCTGTGGATTTTGTGAGGAAAACATCCAGATCAGCGACGACAGCTGCATGTCTCCTGGCAACAGTGTTCAACAGGCGGGGGGGGAAAGATGGAGTCCCTAGGTCCACCTGGAGAACAACAAAATGATACGGCAAAGATTCACTTCACTTAAAGGGGACCTATTATGCAAAATCCACTTTTTCATGTCTCTTCTACATCAACATGTGTCCCCTCTTCTTCATGTCTCTTCTACATCAACATGTGTCCCCTCTTCTTCATGTCTCTTCTACATCAACATGTGTCCCCTCTTCTTCATGTCTCTTCTACATCACCATGTGTCCCCTCTTCTTCATGTCTCTTCTACATCAACATGTGTCCCCTCTTCTTCATGTCTCTTCTACATCACCATGTGTCCCCTCTGTGTAAAGAGACTCTGAAAGTTTCAGGAAAAAAGATTCTCTCTCTTTTTGTCCTGATCCATTTATATAAAAACCTGTCTGAAAATGAGCTGATCAGATTTTGGCCACTTTATGATGTCATAACGTTTTTTTGGCTTGTGTAACCATTAGCCAATCACCAACCAAGGTAACCCCCCCCCCCCCCCCTTATCACCTGAATCTCCTCCTAGAGCACCAATGTGTTCTTTTTAACCAAATATCTCTCAGAGGGGCGTGGGGAGGGGCTCCTTATTTTCATCTAAAGTAACAGACAGAGAATCAGCACTTTGGAAACAGGGCTGAAACAGAGGGGATTATGGGATGCTGCAAAGATCTGTTTGGTGTTTGGAGCCAAACACTTCAGAGACATGTTCTGTATATATCTGAGACCTGTAATATATTGATGAAAAACAGTATAATAGGGGACCTTTCAAATTGAGCCTATATGGTCATCTTGAATCGGCCCTATTATGCTTTTCAGATGTTCCCTTTCCTTTAATGTGTTACAGTATATAATAATAATATTACATTTGATTTGTAAATCACCTTTCATTGCTAAAAGCAAAATCCCAAGGTGCTAGCAATCCCAATGTGCTAATATATAGGACTCCTGACCTCTTATAAATTGCAATTCACAAACTACTGGGCTGTGAGGTTATTAGCTGTTTGATGTGTATCAGATTTCCATTACCTCCGCATCCTAGGAGGTTAGATTTCACTTCAGTTTGTTAGTCAGCAGGATTACATGAAAAGATTGGCCCGATTTTCATTAAACTTGGTGGGAGGATGCAACAAGGCCCAAGGAAGAACTCATTCTATTTTTGAGCAGGAACATCTGTGATTGTTTTTTGTTCTGGCAAATGTCCAGCCTGCAGAAGTGGAATTATCATGTGGGTGTAGAGTACTGATGTCTGATTTGCTTCTCTTAGCTGGAGTCTGGGGAACAAATGCTCTTGCACTTAATCTTATTGCCATACAAAAAACCATGAATTGCAAGTTTGTTGAATAAATAATAATTAATCTACCAGATAATACCAGTTTAATTCCTGCACAGCACTTTCACATCCGCTCTTCGGAGGTTTGCCTGGAGTTAATGTTAATTTAGAAAAAACCTGTGTCTGAAACATTTCCATACAAGTGTTGAGACATTAACGAAGACCATCTATCTATCTATCTATCTATCTATCTATCCATCTCTTCAAATGTGCAGATGTTGCTAGCGAGCCCAACACACATATCAGCCTGCAGATTAGTTTATAGCTAGCATCGCTCACCTGCAGCAGGTAGATGACCCTGGTGGCTTCCTGTCCGTTACGTGTAATTGGCTGCAGGACCCAGCAGCTGGGCATCATCTCCCCCCGAACGGCGTCCACACTGGGTCGAGGCAGAGACTCCTCGAACACGGACTGCATTGCCAGCACGCACAAGCCACCCTGAGGCAGATAGCAATATAAAAAATCATCAATAAAACAGGCAGCGCAGCCTTTTGATCAGCCAAGAGAATCTGACACTGATAACCAGCAGCTGAGTCACCCTCCGCCTCAGGGGTATTGTTTTTTTAAGGGGCACGAGTACTGCTTAAAGAGTATTTTCTACATGTTGTGGATGACAAACTCAATGCTACGCTATTTATCATGAATTGTTCTTCATTCAAAAAAGACAGCACTGTATCCTGTGTTCCAGCCACACTAATATGACACTTAATAGAATGTTATCCCTTAAAGTGAAGCGTGATTTTTCTGTACAACTATGCTGCAAACACTGAGTGGATATTGAACAAGTGCGACCAGCAGTAATCATAGGGACGGCTGGTTTATTTTGCAGCTGTGCTTACCTGTTTGGATTCAGTGCTGATGCAGCAGAAGTCCCGCGGCTGGCTGAGGTGGCAGGAGGACGGATCTGTTAGTACATAAACTGAACAGTAACACAGAGAGAAGGGTCAGAATGTGTGGAAAATAAGTGATGAAACCTTCAAATAAAGGAAATATAAAAGAACCAAGGCAATGGAATAACAAGTTATTGCTTAACAAGGTTAGAAAAAGGAATTTATTTCACAACTTCAGAGAAAAGGCTCTTATCTCTTATGATATAATCTGCGTCACTGTGTAAACACAAATACTACTTTTAATGAGAGCAGAGTAGGTGACGTAGGAGAGGGCGATGATGCTTCAAACGTATTTAATGCATCATACTGTAGCGCAGGTGTGAGAGTAGAGTACGACATGCTTAACAACACAGTAGTCAGTGATGAATGGGACTGTACTCTACTGTACTATTCATAGCTAATGCATGCAGACGCAAGACTTGGAGCAAAAATACGTACAGAAACAGCTTGCAAAAATATAAATAGTTTGGCAGCAAAAACAAACTTGTAAATACTTTTCTATATTCGTATTCTTGCAACGACACAAATATGATCTGCAAGGTTGACTATTTCCTCACATGCTTCAGAGATTCTCCCATTGCAAAATAACTTATTTCACACTTTCTTGAGGAGTGTGTTATCTTACTGTTTAATGTCTACTGATTATACAAATCTACTGGGATGTAAGAAATGTACTCACAACATTATTAACATGCATCATCTCACATTTAAGCAACGCTGTACTAACTAGGGGAGGAGTGGTCAGATATATTAACTCAGTAAAGGTAGTATTTCTACTATGCAAATAAACTCCTTAACAAGTGAAGGCACTGAGACATATTGTTACCTAGGGAACAGTATGAGTATAAATGTGCAAAATGTTCTTAAAGTGAAAAAATTACTGTACATATATATTATATAATTAACTATTACAATGATCAATTAACCTTTAAGCAGAATGTTACTTTTGTAGATGGATGAGATGTGGTTTATTCAATAATTTAGATTAATAATCCCTTAAAATACTGTATGTTTTTTACAAAGAAGTTAAGTTACTATATTTGTCAGATAAATGTGGCGTAAGGCCTGCAGAGTTGTAGCGGAATAGACATTTAAAGTGGCATAACACAAAGATAATGAGGTAAAGTACATCTACTCTAAATGTGCACTTAAAGGTGGGGTAGGTAATTCACTTCAGAAACACTTTTTGTTATATTCCATGGAATGCTCTTAACATCCCGATAGCAATGAATACATGAAATGCTTTGACAATAAATACATAAAAAAAATGTCATCTGTGGAAGTCGTAGCGCTGTAAAAAGCACGACCAATCATCTGAGCCGGCCCGGCTAAAATAACTGGATGGCCTACCTGCCTGTCAGCCTTCCATCTCGTGCACAAACTTATCTCGTGCCCTCATTGGTCATGTGCGCGTTCGTGTGTGTTGGAGGAGGGGCTCTGTAAGGAAGTCTGAAGGAAGGGGCAGATTTTTTCAAATTCTAGCGCACTCGAGCTGGTTTCTACATTCTTACCTACCCTACCTTTAAGTGTAGCTCTTGACTTAATTGACTCTGATACATTGCTCCACCCGTACTGTACCATGTGTGGATTTTGACAGAGCAGACAGTGCGCTCACCCAGCTGAGTGCTGTCATCTAGTGGTCGAGTCCACACAGAGCGCACGGACTGATGGAACATGTGGCTCCTCGACAGCTGGCGGATTATCTTCCACAGACTGAGCAGGGGTCTGTCCAGCTCCCCGACCGCCAGGAAACTGTGCACAGACGGGCTGGCGGAGGGCTTGTAGAAAGCCTGGACCCCTCTTTCTTCTCCCTGGTGCCTATATAAACACGGAGTAAAAACACTTGAAAATGAATGATGTTTGTGATTTGAGATCTTTATTAATTCCTCGACTTTGCAGCTGATTATTCTCGATAGAGACAGTCCTTGACTTATTTTCTTCTAAGGCATTTACTCTTCCCCACCATCCACCACACACCCTCTGCAATGGCCTTCTTAACCCTTGTGTTGTGTTCAAAAGCTGTTACTGTTCATGGTGTTCGCGGGTCAATTTTGACCCATGATTTATCTCAGTCCAAAACACAACAAAAAAATGACTATCATCCAATATTGTTTTAACTACATCATAACTAACTTATAATGCATTCATAACCGTACAATCCTGTTGTAATTTAACGTTATGGCCCCAAAACACATTACACCACATATTGCACACGTGCATATGTGAGTTCAGGTTCAAGTGTTAGTGTACATATTCTTTGAGAAAGGTGGAGTTCCCGTGGGGGGAGGGGAGACCAGGTGCGTGTTGCGAACAATTATTGTTACAGTTGATGAAGGGGGAGGGGTCTCTAAAGTCAAAGATGAATCTTGATTGGGCCAAATTTGACCTCGAGTCACCCAAAACAATTCTGCTGGGTCTCCCCAGACCCGAACACCAAATTATACACTTTTTCTTTTAGAGACCTTCAGACTTGGCTAAACATTTCAAAATCAGTTTTGTAGTGTTGATATAGCTGCTGTGGAGGATATCATGAAGCCTTGGTCCCATAAAAAAAACTAGAGCGTAGTTATTATATAATTTTAACTTGAAACGGGTCACGGGAGACCCGAACACAACATAAGTGTTAACATGAGGCCCAAAAGTAACCAGCTTAACATAGCACTCTTATCATTCTTTATTATATATAATTAATGTACTAAACTTTCTTTAAATAAACCTTTAAACTTTCTTGTTTTGTTTCACTGCGCTGTATCATCAACTCAAATCCTAGCCTACATTGTACATTTAGAAAAGTAAGGCGATTCTGAATCTGACTCTAGATGAGTCTATCAAAGAGAATGACTGATCATACCTCCAGCCTGCCGTGGCCTTGCCCATTAGCAGGTTGCTCAAATCTCCAGAGGAAGCTAGTCGCACCTGTCGAGAAACACATTTACAATTCAACCTGATGCAAACATCTGAGAGAGTAGTCAAAAAAAGGGGCAATCATTATAAAGATTAACCAATTACAGTGAAATCCAAAGCACAAAGAAGTCATTTAAAGGGGACCTATCATGCAAAATGCACTTTTGTACGTCTTTTATACATGAATATGTGTCCCCGGTGTTCCAGGGAACTCACCAAGTGTCAGAAAACACAACCCTCTCTATTTTCCTCCATACCCAAATCTCTAAAAAAGGGGCTGCAACGGATCTGATAAAAACTGATCCAGATTTGAACACTGTCCTGACGTCAAGACGGTGGCGCTACGGCTATTGGGCCAACTCCACCAATCAGGAGGAGACAGCCACGGCCATTGCCGTTCGAAAGCGCTGGAGACGCTGTAGTACATATGCCAGGCCTCTAGATGGTGCTGTTCTCACTGAATCTGCCCTTGCTAAAACAGATCTAAAAAATGTCAAATTGAGCAAAATGAGGCATGGCTAAAATGCATGATCTGTTTGGTATTTTGAAAAAAAAAAAAGTATAAATATGCCTTATATAGGTATGGCCCTACACTATATTATTCAAATATAGCATGATAGGTCCACTTTAAATGTAAGTCTGTGTTACCTCAGCCAGAGCTCGACCGAGGAGACCGGATGTGATGTCTTGATAGGTTGAGGATATGGAAGAGGATGAGCCAAAAGAAGCGGTGCGTTGACGTGTAGATGTGGGGGATGGAGATGAAGTCATGAGGGGATCAAACCCGCTGACAGGAGGCTCAAGACGAACATCTAGAAAAGACGTGGATGTTAACATGGAAGTTCAATACAGAGAATGTACAGTGTTAAGGGATGCACGAGTCACAGACGGGGGATAAAGACTTTGGAAAGGATCTCCAAAGTCTTTGTGAATCAAGAGTGGAAGAGTGAATAGTGAAATTGGGTGTTATGATCATAGTCCAGTCCTTACCATGGGCAGACAGCCAGGCTCTCTGTGACTTCACACTCTGAGGACCACATATAGGAGGACGTGTCCGGACCTTCAGCTCTTCATCCTGTACCGCTGTGATCTGAAGGAAATCAATAATGTCACATTTATCTGCAGCTCATTCAAAAAGAAAATGACGACAAAACCTCAAAGAAGGTACTTGCAGTGTAATAACAATCCAAGATGTTCTCTTAACAGTTACTTTAGGGTTAAGACTAAGTATTTAACATTTAAAGGTCCCCTATTATACTGTTTTTCATCAATATATTATAGGTCTCAGATATATACAAAACATGTCTCTGAAGTGTTTGGCTCCAAACTCCAAACAGATCATTGCAGCATCCCATAATCCCCTCTGTTTCAGCCCTGTTTCCAAAGTGCTGATTCTCTGTCTGTTACTTTAGATGAAAATAAGGAGCCCCTCCCCACGCCCCTCTGAGAGAGATTTGGTTAAAAAGAACACAATGGTGCTCTAGGAGGAGATTCAGGTGATAAGGGGGGGGGCGTTTTTTTTTTGTGTTGCCATAAGTTATTCTCTCTCCGTTGGTGCGCGGGGCTAATGCTAATAATGCTAATGCCAGCAAATACAATGGCGGCTTCAAAAAACTTTTCAGAGTTTTACGGGGCGTGGTTTGCAATTCGCCCAGCCAATAGAATTCGCCCAGCACTAAAAATGGGGGTAAAAGTTCCCGGCACTAAGTACTCTTTTTGGTGTGAACGCGACATAAGGGGTACTTACGGAACTAAACGGGAAAAGTACGGGGAAAAGTACTCCGGTGTGAACGCGCCTAATGGTGCTCTAGGAGGAGATTCAGGTGATAAAGTGGGGGGGGGTTACCTTGGTTGGTGATTGGCTAATGGTTACACAAGCCAAAAAATCGTTATGACATCATAAAGTGGCCAAAATCTGATCAGCTCATTTTCAGACAGGTTTTTATATAAATGGATCAGGACAAAAAGTGAGAGAATCTTTTTTCCTGAAACGTTCAGAGTCTCTTTACACAGAGGGGACACATGTTGATGTAGAAGAGACATGAAAAAGTGGATTTTGCAGAATAGGTCCCCTTTAAGATTTAAGTGTACCAACCTGTCCCGTCAGAAGAGGCCTGTTGCCGGGCAGCAGCTGTGCGGTGTTGCCGCTGTTGTACCCGGACGTTGGTCCAGAGGAAAGGCTCAGGCTGGATCCGGTGCACAGGGTGCTGTTACTGACTCTGGTCCGGTGCCTCGAGTCATCCTGCCACACACAGCGGAGATGGGACGTTGACATTTTTTAAATACCGTGGTGTCGTAAATGAAACTGAATCATTCATATTTAATTATTTTCTCCCTCATTTATTGCCAAATGGGCAGAATCTCATATTAACATGATAACATTATTATTTCTGCCAATAAAGCTACATGTTACGAGTGTAAAGACACAAAAACTGACCTTGGCTTCCTGAGAAACGGCCTGCTGCTGAAGCCTCCTCTTCTCCTGCTCAGTTCTTTCTCGCAGTCGTTCTCGTGCCTTCGCAATCTCCGTCCTGGCTTCCTCTCGGGCTCGGCCGTAGTCACGCAACAGCTGCTCAATGTCAGACGGACACTGGCCCTCTGCTTTTGGAGGCTCTGGTAGAGTGCTCTGTTGCAGGGACTCTTTACGCTGACTGGGCATGGCGGCAGACACCTTGGTGGAGACGGCCTCTGGTGGGGAGGAGCGAGGATGTTTGCTTGGACTCAGACTGCGAGCTCTGCGGGAAATATGGAGACGTTCCTCCCTGTCCTGCCTCAAACCCTCAATACTCCTGCGGTGTCTGAGAGGAGAGATTCACAGAAATATAATAACGACAAGAATGCATTTTGAGGTAAAAAAACATTATAGACATTTTTGATGAAGCTTTTTCCAAAATGTGCATTTAATTTATGTCATTTCGAGGACTAAGATGACACTACCTGTTCATTTACAACCCACAACGATTTGTAGAAACAACAGGTTTTAAAAGCTAGCATTGATTTGTGTTCTGATTTGTATTCTTGTTAACATTGATCAGATATTTCCTCATCTAATCTAAATCAGTTTCATTGTTTAACCGCTTTTAAACTATAAGACATGATACCTATTTTGTTAAATTACAAAATGGTTGTGGAAAATAAACATTATGATTCTTTTAAAACGTTTTTGAAGAAACTCAAGCAATGTTATCACAAAGACTATTTGAAGTAGATGTATCCATACCTTTCATACAGCTGCTGTTTGGTGTTCTCAGAAGCTGGTGGCTCCATCTCTTCTCTGTTCCTCGGGGACAACATTTTTAACATCGTGTCTGTCTCTCCCAGGCCGTAGTGCAGCTTTGCCTCCGTCAGCTCCACAGTCAGCGGGGTCTGCTTCATGTTGAGGCTGACCGTCGCCATCACCTGCTCCCTCTCCTGTCGCAGCCTCTCTATCTCTCTCGTCCTTCTGTCGCTCTGCACCATGGACTCTTCATTTGAGCCGAAGCTCTCCATCTCGCCCCACTCAGCGCAGTTTCTGCTCTTTAAGTGCTCTTTGGTAAGACACGTGGCCGGTTTGTTGGAGTGCTTTGATTGTCGTAGGCTGATGCCGGACCAGTTAGTGAACTTATTGTGCATTGGCAGGTCTTCTGGGGCTATCGGGTGGGGATGAGACGTGGACAGGCTGGTGATCGGTTTGATGTTTACAAGGATGTCTGTGTTGCACTCGCTGGGTGCCAGTGACAACGCATCATCCTCCTGAAGTTCATCAGTCCTGTAACTGACCTGTGATAGGTTGTAAGAATCATGGCAAATATCTAAAGAGTCCACTGCAGCTCTTGATGTTTTTCCATGTGTAGCTTGAGCTTGTTTGTGCATATCAGTGGGTCTTAAAATGGGAGAGATGTTGTTCGGCATTGCTGAGTCTTTTGTTAATGCAGACGTCTTCCACTGGTGAGATCTCATCTGCCATTTGGAGTCTTCATAGGAAACATCTCTCCTGTCAGTGTCTGAATATCTACCCCGTGATGAAATAACACTCAAAGAACACTTATCTGAGCTTTTAGGGCTTAAGCCGCTCATTTCACTCACCTTCTCTAGTGATACAGATTCTGATTTCCAAGAGGAAACATCGCAATCCTGTCTGCGCGTTTGACCATTTTGTGAAACAGTCGTGCGAGCAGATTGTTTGCTAGAAGACAAAGTAAGGTTATCTTTCTCAGAACTAGGGTGTTTATTTAGTGTTGATTGCTTTCCCTTCGGTTTCAAATGTAATCTTGTTCCCACAGTGCGTATGGGGGATGATGCCCGGTCTGTGTATGTTGCTTGTTTCTTTATAGAAAGCAGTGGGTCATTTCTCAAAGAGGGACTGTGATTTCCTTGGCAGCCGTTTTTCGATAATCTGTTTGAGACTTCAGATATCGCAGCACCTTTGTGGCAGAGTGCCTCGGGCGTGTTTAGCTTTGAGCTTCTAGAGAAAGCAGATCTTACATGTCTTTGACTTTCACCCGCGGACTTTAAAGGAGACGTTTTCTGAGGGGCATTCTCCGAGTGTGAGGCGGACCTTTGTGCTGCAGCAGAGGTGTTAGCGCTCAGGTCAGGCATGCTCTGCATCTTTTCATCTGTTCTCTTCACAGCACAGTGCACATTTCTGTCTTGGGAAACACTGAAAACCTCAGAACCGATCACTTTGACAATGACATTGACTTCATGAGATTTGGACCTTTCACTTGGCGTTTGATGAGCAGCGATTTCCCTCTCTGCTGCTGCTGCTGCTGCTGCTGCTGCTGAACACCTCTCCGTTTGGATCCCAATATCTACGGCTGTTTGAGTCGAGCAGTCTCTCTGTATGTGGCCATTAGACTCGCTGTAAGAGAGGCTGATATCTGACACGTTAACACTCCTCCGCAGACTGGACTTGAGGGCTTCGCCTGTTCTCATTTCCTGGACGTCCCCCAGCAGGTCGGAGGTGCTGTCGATCAGCTTTGAGAGGTGAGCCGACATGCTTTCCATACTGGCCCATGTTGGAGATTCTTTAATGTCTTTGGTTTTTGCAGGTTCATCAGTGTAACTTCTTTTGTGCCGCTCTCTTCTCTTTGGAACAATATTTACTGTCTGAAGGCCACGCTCGGTTTGAGTGCTGTGCTCACATGTTCTTCTTCTGTGGGCGTGTGTTTTGCTTGTCTGGCACTCTTGCTCAGACGAGTGCACAACCATCATTTCCTCCACCCGAGTGGAGTTGAAACCATTTTGAACATCGTTACTCGAAGAATTGCCGCTCACTGAAAGATTGGCTAGATGATTGTGAATATCAGCGGGAGCTTGTTGACGGGGCGATAGCTGAGATGTTTCGCTTTCCTGTTCCTTGTAATCTTCGATACTGCTGAGCGTACTGGAGAGCCCCTTGTTGGTGGCGTAAGTGCTCAGATGGGAATAGAAAGGCGAGTTCTGCCCATTCAATCCATTCTCCACACTGCAGCATCTCGTTATACGTTTCTCAGTGCTGTTCAGAAGTGGAGATTTACAGGAGAGGTCAGCGGCACTTCCGAAAGCTGGGTTCTTATAACAGTGTTGGTCCGAGTCACCGCCTTGCCACTGGTGAACAAAAGGGTTGATGTCACTGGAGGCAAAATGCATAGAGGAGTCCTGCTGCGGGTCACTTTTCTTTGGGATGATTTGTTCTGCATTTGTCCTCTGTGACATTGCTCGAGGGGGTAAAGAGTGTGTTTTTTGGATGTAGTCTCTACTCGCTATTACTTCACTTTTACCCTGAGTTCCAGCCAAACCAGCCTGCATTTGAAATTTACTGACACACACAGCAGTAGAGAAATCTGCATCTTCACCTGTACTCTGATGGATTTCCTGTTTTCCATTACCAAGCTTTACCCATTTAGAGGAGAGCCGGCTGTGAGGCTGTCTGGCAGATGTATCATCCTCCTCATCCCCATCTGACGATTTAGGAGAGGACTCAGAGGAAGAGGTGGGATAGGTCTGGATCTTAGTCTTTCTGAACCGCTTCGATTTGGCCTTTTTAGACATGAGAGCAGAATTATCTTTTTCATCACCAGGTGTTTTTAGCTCCACCTGGTTGGACATAAAAGATCCATGGCAGCTTTTACTTCGGATGGCAACCCCCTTTGGTACATTTTGTTGAGGCTGCATAGAACCAGACATTCTTAGTTCATATTTAGATCCTGTCTCTTTGTCATTTTTCGCTACAATATCTTGTTTGCATAGTGTTACATTTTGCAATTTGTTGTTATAGTTCATGTTGACCACACACGTCTGAGACAGGTTACTTGCATGAGTGTGTGGACAGATGATCTCGTCCTCTGCTGTTAAACGTGGTTTGACTCCTGTCGGGTTGACTGTTTCACCATCTCCATTACAGCCAGGAGAAACAGCCAGCAATTTCATAGAGGAAAGCTCATTAGTGGATGTGTTCTGGCTGCTGTTGCGTTTGTCAGGTTTTAATTGACTTCGACCATCCGATAATAATTGAATGGCTTCAGATGAGTCTGGACTATTTTGCAATTGTTCTTGTATGGTCCCTTGCAAGTTCTGTTTGTGCGAACGACTGTGTTTGTCTTCAACGGTGATTGAGGCTCCCATACGGACATCATTTACACTATAACAGCTCTGAGTGTCCACTTGATTCAAGCATGTAGTACCGATGACCGGATTAAGTTGGGATGGTACTTTTTGTTTCGCTGAATTATTCATTTCTTGACACAAAGCATCTTTTTCCACAATGTTGCCTTGAGAATGAATAGAGGAATTACTCATTGAGGACGAACCAATTGGCTGCAAGGCCGGGTTGCAAGAGTGCTCAGACCCTCCATGGCCATTCATTGCCAGATTTGATAGCATGCTGTTATCGGAAGAGGACTTTTGGAAAACATAAGGATCCATGGCTGGCTTGTTGGATGTCACATCAGACAAATTATGAGCATGGTCGATCTTCTGTGTTCCTATACTAGATTTGAGCCTGTTGCTCTCATGGCAAATCTTCAATTCAGCTGGCAGTTCTGATGCAAGCTGTCCACTTTTGTCCATCATGTTTTCACTCACCATCCTTTCCAGTGAAAGGCATCTGTTAAGGATGGCTCCTTCTTTCACCTCCTCACTCACTTCATCTCTACTCTCTCTTTCTATCCATCTATTTTCATCAGTATTACAGCCAACATGACATGCAGTGAATGACAAGACCTTCGTGTTTTGAGTCCTACTCTTCCCGCGATCATCGCTGCCAATCAAAGACAATTTCATGTGTTCTTTGACCACTTCTGAGATTCTCAGGTCAATGGCGCTACAAATAGCATCTGACTTGCATATGTGTTTTGTACTTTCTTGATGTTTCCTGGGGTTATCTATTTGTGATTCCCCACCTTTGGTATTTGTTGGTATTGATACATCTTTCTTTTCAACTACTTCCCTCTCCCCCGCTGAGCTACCTCTCTGTGGACTCTTGTCACGACATTCAGAGTCCTCAAAGACACGTCCAAGTTTCCTGCTCATGGGATCAGAAACTGGCGACGCCTCTGAAGCCATTGTCTCTTGGATTAAGCTGCCATCAATACAAACAGAATCAAATCCGGGGCTGTCAGCTTCCGCGGCAGACTGTTCCCCGTTTGAGTCACTGGTGTTATTATTGTCATCAGGCCAAGAATCATCCTGGCTGCCAACTGGAGCGGAGCAGAAAGTGACGAGCTCTCCGCCGTCGCTCCTTTTTGGAATTTTCAGGCTGCCGATGAAAGCCTCCTTTTCGTCTTTGTTCCTCTTCCTGGAATTTTTACAAGCAGATTTAACGAGTTCCTGCTGTAGTGAAATGTGCTGCTCAGTGACTTTGGTTCCAGCCTCATCCAACAGTGTGTCCCTTGTAAAAGACACGTATTTGGTGTTCCCAAACTCATATTGCTGAACATTTGTCAGCTTTTCAGCACCATCAAAACTGCATAGTACCTTATCTTCGATGGATGGTTTGAAGGCATCTGCAGCGTTCGATAAATTGCTCAATATTTGACCTCGGTTCGTAGGACCACCTGACACACGTGATTCAAGGTCAGAGGACACCGTCTCAGGTACATCGTTAAATACCTTATTTACTTGTGATGCTTGTTTTTTGGTGTACTGGATCTCAGAGGGTGACAAACAAGTGGTTTGGTTTAAGGTTAATAAGGTGGCTGGACTTTTGATGCACCTGTAGTCAGGAGTATCTATGACTGACTTTGCGATTTGGGATATTTCTTCCTCTGATTGCCTCTCATAAGCTCCTAGTGCTTCATCTGGTGTTGTTAGTATCCAAGAGTCTTTCAAATCCAATGTTTCTGATGTGCTAATTGCAACTTCAAGACCATGTTTTAGCACTGTTACATTCACACTCTCAGTGCTGGTGGATGGTGAGCTACAGCTTCTAGATCCGCGCTGGTTTAGGCTGGTTGGACTGGGACTGCTACTGCTCTCTTCACCTTTAAAAATCAATTTACTTTGGAAAGGCAGAGCATCTGGATGAATCCTGGGACTGTCTGCTGCATCAGTGGAGGACCAGGCATCAGTGAGTGCCAGCATGTTTTCTGGCTCCGTCACACGCCAGCTGCTCAGGGAGCGTGGGCTAACAGTGGAAGTGGTCTGCATGTTCCCAAAGTCCTCAATCAATTTGTGTACAGTGTCTCTGCCTCTGGAATCTGCTACTAATGGGCTGTGGGAAGGAGGCTTTCTCGTAGCTCCCAGTCTTAATTTTGGAGAGTACGTCTCTGCTGGGATTACCTGAGGTTTATGACGGTCGTCTCGATCCAAACTGATTCCTGCATTTTTATTTAGCTTCATGGTTGAATATGTCACAAATGAGTTTGTTGGCACTACTGTTTCGCTACGTTTTTCCGCAGTTTTGTATTTCCCACTGCTGTCCACAGCTAATGAATCTCTAGACATCTGACTGTCTTCGCTCTCTGGTTCGCTCTGAGCTGCTTCCTCGTGTCTCAGCTGCTCTGTGAGGGCCGTCACATAAGCAGAGGACAGCGAATCGAGAGAGAAAAGGCTCTCACAGTCTGACGTCACTTCATCTCTGTCCTCTTGCTCTTCCTCCCATTGCATCAGTCCCTGCTGTGTCTCTATCCACCTGCTGGTCTTGCTCATCAGAGCCTCTGCACTATGCCAGCGCTTCTTTTTGATGTCTTCAAACTGAGTTTTTTGGTCAAGCTCCTCGCATGAGACAGCTGTTTTAACGGCACATTTGCTTCTGCTCTTCGCATCTTTTAGGCTCTTGTCTCTTCTTTGACTCCAGTGAAACTTGCTCGCTATCCTCCCCGGACGTTTGTGGCCTTGTGCTCCATTCACACCTGATGTTGGTTTTCTGAACACTTTGGAAAGAGCTGTTTTTAACCTGGGCCCCACAGAGTGAGAGAAAGTCTTCTTGATGGTTTCTAGTCCGCTGTTACCGGCATGGGGTTGAGTTACTGCATTCATGCACGGGACAGTCTGAGAGCTCATTTTGCGTGTTTTGGGTTCTTGTATATTTTCTTTGCTGCTGGGCTGCACTGTAGTTCCAAGTGGCGACTTAAGAGAAAACGTTGAGAGTTGATCCGATCTGTTCTTAAAATTCAGGTCTCGGTTTGGCAAAAGAGGTTTTCTTTCTGGTCGTTCCCTGCAGCGCTGAGCTTGGGGCCCCTCTTTGGGTGTTAGCATGAGGTTTTCAGAGGAACCTACTCTACTCCGGCAGGCTTGACTTTGTCCTGAGAAGAGTTTACCAGAACAACTCTGGGATCTTTCCCGGGGAAGGCGTTCATCAGAAACCCACTCCTGGTGGCTACTGGAGTCAGAGGTTGTGAAGGAATTCGGCATCAGTTCTGTGGATCTGTTTCTCTTGAGGAAGTGTCTGTTGAGGAAAGAAAAAAAATGTTTTTAAATGTTTTTCTTTTGTTTTAATATCTAAAATATTTAGGGCCAACACATTTATTGTAATTTTATTACAGTTGGACTATGGTAATATCAAAATCACAGGATACACAATAAGGTGTAAGGCAAAATGTCGGAATAGAACTCTACAGACTTAAAGGGGACCTATCATGCAAAATGCACTTTTGTACGTCTTTTATACATGAATATGTGTCCCCGGTGTTCCAGGGAACTCACCAAGTGTCAGGAAACACAACCCTCTCTATTTTCCTCCATACCCAAATCTCTAAAAAAAAAGGGGCTGCAACGGATCTGATAAAAACTGATCCAGATTTGAACACTGTCCTGACGTCAGGACGGTGGCGCTACGGCTATTGGGCCAACTCCACCAATCAGGAGGAGACAGCCACGGCCATTGCCGTTCGAAAGCGCTGGAGATGCTGTAGTACATATGCCAGGCCTGTAGGTGGTGCTGTTCTCACTGAATCTGCCCTTGCTAAAACAGATCTAAAAAATGTCAAATTGAGCAAAATGAGGCATGGCTAAAATGCATGATCTGTTTGGTATTTTGAAAAAAAAAAAGTATAAATATGCCTTATATAGGTATGGTCCTATACTATATTATTCAAATATAGCATGATAGGTCCACTTTAAGTAAAAAGTCAATACTAAAAAAGAAAAAGAAAAATGAATGTGACTTATGATGCAAAAACTATCATTACCTCAAATATCGCAATTAAAAAACCAAAAAGTCGCTTTTTTATATATATACTTTTTCCAAACTGTTCAACCCTTCAAAAGCCAAAAACGTCCACAATAATTTTCAAAGTACAATAGCCAACATTAGTTAAGCAAAAAAGTCAGCTCATTTCCATCCATGCAATTGACACACGTCACATGTTTTATGCGTTTACCTGAAGATCGGTGTGTTCTGGGGGTAAAGCCGGGAAAGAAGGTCTGCGGAGAATGAGTGTCTACGAGGGACAAACTCTCTCTCCGTGAGCTTTGTGGGGGTCACCAGCTCAGGAGACTCGGGGCTCTCTGGTCCTGGAGGCAGAGACTTTTCCAGCCGTTGCAATTCCTTCTTAGCTTCCAACATATGCCGCTTGCGTGCAATCCTCTCCAGCTGGTAGTGTAACTTTTTCCTTCGGATTCGGCTTTCGGCACGGCAGAGGGCGTGATGCTTCAGCAGTTCCTCCTGCATCGACTTCTTCCTCGCCCGAACCACGTGAGACAGACGGTATCCTGTCTGATCCTCCTGATCACGAAACGCCTGACTTGCCACTCGCTCCAGGAGGGATGCAGGGATCAGATCTGCCTGTACCCCAGACTCTTGGGTGACTTTCTGCTCAACAGTTGTTAGGTGCTGCTTCTCCTGCAAAATCCACTGCTGGACTGTTGGGTAAAGATCAACAGAAGGGAACCATAAGTGGTGGATATTTTAAAAGGTCACCTATTATGCAAAATCCACTTCTTCATGTCTCTTCTACATCAACATGTGTCCCCTCTGTGTAAAGAGATTCTGAAAGTTTCAGGAAAAAAGATTCTCTCTTTTTGTCCTGATCCATTTATATAACAACCTGTCTGAAAATGAGCTGATCAGATTTTGGCCACTTTATGATGTCATAACGATGTTTTGGCTTGTGTAACCATTAGCCAATCACCAACCAAGGTAACCCCCCCCCCCCCCCCCTTATCACCTGAATCTCCTCCTAGAGCACCATTGTGTTCTTTTTAACCAAATATCTCTCAGAGGGGCGTGGGGAGGGGCTCCTTATTTTCATCTAAAGTAACAGACAGAGAATCAGCACTTTGGAAACAGGGCTGAAACCAGTGGCGTCGCCTGGCCTGGGCATCCGGGGCTTTAGCCCCGAATGTTTTTTCTGTAGCCCCGGACAATTCTCCCTCAATAATATAATACATTAACCGTGCTTTACGTGAACCTCATCATGACACGAGAGGACGGCACCACTGTAATTTCCCGTGTTCAGTGAATGCAACAGAGGCATGACACCAGACCAATCAGAGAGTTGCATGGAAATAAACGTGTGTCATTCAAGCTCCGCTCTGTGTGTGTGTGGCAATAGCGCATGTGAGAGAGAGAGAGAGAGAGGGAGAGAGGGGGAGGGAGGGACCGGTGTCAGCATGGACCGTGTTGTTAGCATCTGGTTAGCTAGCTGCACTAACGGACATAAGGAGCTGTTTGTTCCACAAGAAGCTGGAGGAGAGTCCTCTCCTCTCAGACTGAGAGACTCAGGTGAGCTAAAGGACTCTTCGAGTGTTGAGATACATAACTTTAGTCTAAGTTATCTCAGTGGGTCTCAAACGGTTTGGTCACAAATTATTCAAAAGATTATTTCCGCGGCACACCTTCATATGATCATTATAGTTATTAAAAAAAAGAGAATAAAGGAAAAACAGTCATGAAATACTATATGGCAGTAAAACAAGAATAGAGTTTAAAAAGGGAGTGATTAGTAAAATATCCATAAAGAAAAAGTACATCTGTTTACAGTTCTGCTTCATATGGGTGTTGAGAGAGGTATCCATAGATCTCTTCATTTTGCTCTCAAAGTGCACCAGATTGATGCATTTAACTTCAATATTTAAAAAAAAATCTTCCCGGGGGAGCATCCCCCCGGACCCCCCTCGAGGAGGTGAGCCCCCGACTCATAAAAAATACCACTTTACCCCTGCCTATATGCCGTGAGCTGATTATCGAGCCTTCATTGTAACAGTCGCGGGTGTACTGTGTGTGTGCGTGTGAGGAGTGTTGCAGTAAAAAATGCCACTGTAGTGCCGCCGCCACTGTGGGCTAAGCCCCGAATGTTTTCAGGTCCAGGCGACGCCCCTGGCTGAAACAGAGGGGATTATGGGATGCTGCAAAGATCTGTTTGGTGTTTGGAGCCAAACACTTCAGAGACATGTTTTGTAGATATCCGAGACCTATAATATATTGATGAAAAAGAGGGGACCTTTAAACCTGCACAAAATATATCCACCAAAACTATCCAGTTGCTTTAAAACTATCTTGAACTTCAAAAAGCTGACAGGTTTCTGTGTGTGCAATAACTTTCTTTGAGAGTGTGTAGAGACGACTTACTCTCAGTGTGCTGCTGTCGGAGGAGGGCCTGCTCCCTCTCCAGCTCTCTCTCAGCCCGTCTTTGTTCTGCCTGAATCTCCTGACGCAAGCTCTCCACGTAGCTCTGCTGCTCCTGCACACTCTGCCTGGCAGCGGGCTCCTCGCTGGGGGAGAGACAGGCACCCAGCTGGCCTTGGAGATTCTCTTCTTCAACACTATAACACAGACACATAGATCCAGGTGAGAATATAAAGTGAGAACCTGATAGTGGAAGAATTGTAACCTCACCTCACCTTGGAACAATTTCATGTCTAGAATTAAATAGTTAGGTGGTGGCAGGTTTAAAGTAAATGCTACTGTTGCTGGTTTTCAGTTCAGGGTCTTAGCAGTTACCAAGCAACAACTGACTCGCACTGTAAAAAGCTAACTGGGATTCTTCACCATGATGGTGGCAAATGCAAACACATGCCAAATAACCAACTGAATACGTTTGAAGCATTGACCCATTTCTGAAGCGTGAACATTTCAAACCACATGTATCTGTTATCAAATATGTGTGCTGTGAGTTGGCAGAATAAGCTCTCACAATACACATACAGTAACAGAGTGATACATTTGTTTTTGTATTTCTGGATGCAGCGTTTACCTTTGGTCAGGGGTCAAGGGACATAGATCAATGTAGGTGCAGCTCATCCCACCTTCACTTGCCTAAAAATAGCAAAGAAAATATCAACTTTAATATTCACCAGAAATGAAAAAATAATAATGTTCCAGCTAAATCTTTTAAAGGAGAGGTGTCATGGCCATTTCCACTGATCATAATTCCATTGTTGAGGTCTACTAAAATAGATTTATACTGTGCATTTTTCCAAACTCACATTGGTTTCTCATACAGCATCTCTGTAAACTACGTGTATTCACTGAATTTCACTCTCTGCCTTTAACGGCTCGTTGTAGCTCCAATAGCTCCAGCCCCCACCCTCCCTGTGAGCACAGTGTGCTCTGATTGGTCGGGACGTTGTGAATCGCGCTGAGCTCCGTGGAGGTGTTGTTTCCTTGTTTAGGATACATAGTGAAACACAGCCAAACTCATCCCGAGCACACACAAACTCACATCCGAAGTAAAAACAATAAGTGTGGCTTGATATTGAGTAAGAAAAAGGTTGATAAACGCTGTGAGAATGGGTCTGCAGAGAGAATTTCGCCGCGATCCCAACTGTCTGTTATCAGCCTGCAGCCAGGGAGGAGAAATCAGCTGAGCTGCCTGCTCCCTGCACACAGATGTGTGTGTGAGGAAGTCCGTGGATTGGTCAATTTGGACCAATCAGCGGGGGCTTAACGTAACGGCTCCGCGGACGTAACGTAACGGCTCCACGGATTGGTCCATTTCGTTCCGGGTACAGCTTGACATCATGCTGTCCCGGAAGAATCAAATGGACAATGACGTATCTCCAACGAGGCGTTTTGGGGAGGTATTTTCTGTGTTAGAGTTTTACTCGCTATAGGGTGTACTTTGAGGGTTTTGACTCTGCACACCGTTTACATGCATAAAAACCTTCATAACACACAAGGGGACGGGTAATAACCGGAAAAGCATGACACCTCTCCTTTAAACAGGTAATTTTTTTATCAGAAACAATTATGTTAATTGAAATTGGCTTTTCCAATCTTACCAACACACACACACGGGCTACCATACAAGGTTTCACCTGCTAATCAGGAGTGATAAACATTCACACACACCCACACAGGCCACTTCCCTATGTTGAGCGCCCTATATTATGTATCAAGAGCTTCACATTATCATCTACTGCTGCCTCTCATTCATCTGCTTATCATTAATATTATCCAGATTGCCATCTTAACCACAGCATCATTTGTATTGTCAGAGGAGCAGCACCCACCCGTCTGCGTTCCCGGAGGACGGCTGCCTCCGCCGGGTGGTTGAAGCGGAACTTATGCTCTCCTCCCAAGGTGATCACCGTCCCTGGAGACAGAGAGACATCTGAAGCTGTGCTCATCCTGTAGCTGCAAGCCGAGGACAGGGTGTGTATGGCTGCAGTGTAGCAGTGCGTGTTTATATGTTTACCCTTGGAAGGAATCTATCCGTGCCCCTTTAAATATGCATGCATATGCAGTATAACATTATCCATTAACCCCTATATGTTATCTGTTCAGTGTGTGTATATAATTGTACATTAACCTATATGTGATATTTAACATAGTGCACTTATTACACGACAGCCTTAATGCTCAGTGTCAAGTCTGCTTAGGTCTGATTTTGCGCATCACTGAATGTTTGTGTCAATGACGCAATCAGCTGTTTTTCTATCTGCTATATAATTGTGTATGCAGTTTCGATACATGTTTTGCAATGATTCAATTAATTAATATACACTCATTACAGACCCGTCTATGTGGTAGTTTGAAATAACAGTCTGCTATTGCCATGCAGTGACAGATAAATGCGCCATTTTGAAGGGAATTCTGGGACTTGTGTTCTTGGCAACACAAAAACAAGTTATCTTCTTCCCTCTTAAACATGCCATAACTGAGCTAATCTTCCAAAGGCACGAGTGTGACGATAGCTGCATTAGGATGATAACATAAAAATGTGTGTTTATTATGAGCCAAATAAAAGTGGTATGCAAGTTCACAGGCTTAGATCAGATATAATAAAAAAACTTGCGACAGCTCCCTTTTGCTGTGTGCTTTGACTCAAAATGCAGTGGGAACAAACTGTGGAGCTGACCTTGAGCCAGTCTGCAGGGCTCAGTGACCTCTCTGTCGTTGAGCAGGCAGACGCAGCCGGGCAGCGGCCTGAGTGTCACCACACCTCCGTGGTTTTCAATCTCACAGCTGGCACTTCCCTGCAGAACTACAAGCAAAGCGCACAAGAAACACAATTGCACTTACGGATTGAGAAAGCTTTACAGATGTAGCTACTGTACTGCTAAATATATTCAGCACAACATGCAGCATTTAATTAAAAGTGAACATTCAAAGCATGTTTTGTCTCTACAGCATCCAGTATGCTGCATTTCTACTCTGCGATAAGACAGTGTTGCTGTAAGATGGTAATGTGAAACAATTCATTCAAAATAGTCTGGTTATACAGTTTGAAAAGGAAGCTGGATGGAGAAACATGGACAAGGAATGAATTAATAATACCTATTTGTGGTTCTTTATACTGTTCCTGAGGTCCTATGTGGGTAACTCCTTCCTGTAAGAAAAAAAAGCATTGTCTAAACATATATTCAAAATCTACATAAACAAAATAACTATTGTGCATTGTTGATATTAGCTAAATGGGCTCAAAACACAAGTGGTTATAATGACAGGACTTTTACACAATGATTCAGATAACTATTGTCCTTTCACTTTTAATCTCCCCCGAAGCTGACAGAAAAAATATAATTTGTTTACTTTGAATTCTTATCTAATGGGATTAAAGGCTTTCTTATATGTCAGGACCACATGTGTTCCCAGGTGGCTTCCCCTCTTCAAATGCAGGAAGCAGTGTAATTGTCAGGCCTAAGGGTATGCTTGTCATTGTCAGAATCAGGACGGCTTAAGCTCCCCGAGTCCTAGCCTCAGAACTAAGAACACACACACACACACACACACACACACACACACACACACACACACACACACACACACACACACACACACACACACACACACACACACACACACACACACACACACACACACACACACACACACACACACACACACACACACACACACACACACACACACACACACACACACACACACACACACACACACACACACACACACCACACACACACACACACACACACACACACACACACACACACACACACACACACACACACACACACACACACACACACACACACACACACACACACACACACACACACACACACACCAGTTTGAGGTTATTTTGAATAATACAGAAGAAACGCACCTTTTCTCAAGAGTTTTTCTAGCAGTACAAAGAGAAATATTAGGAGGCGGAGGAGGAGGGGGAAGAATCTAGTAGAAAGAAAAGAGATGGTTTTAGTCAAGGCAGCTGACAAACCAGTAACTTCAGAGTTGGAGAAAAGTAGAGCAAATGGAAAGAATGTCAGTTTGTGGGAGTTTGCGTGATGTAGTTCAAACAAGTCATGCGTCTGTGGGGATGAAAGGAAACGTACAAAGAGAGAGACCGGGTGAAAGTACACATTTAATACCATCGAATGCAGCAAGCATGCATAACACTATTAATATTTATATTAAGTGCTACACGTATACTAGCAATTTTGATAGCTAATAATTACATTGTAATATTCACACTGCACTGCACACAATTCAAAAAGACACACAGAAGGGGCCGAACACATCGACTTGTCTTTGTTTTCCTGTTACCCTGAGGTGATAGAAGACGACCCCGGTGCTGAGGACGTCCCCATCGAGAGTCACCAGGTGCGGTCGGAGGGAGTTGATGAGGAATCCTGCCCGGTCTCGGTTGATGTCCACGCTGTACTGCTCCAGCAGCTCCTTCTTGTCTCTCCAGCTCTCCGACCAGTCCTTCGTCAGCTGCTCCACCTGAGGAGGATGGGGATTAGAATCAGAATCAGAATACCTTTATTAGTTTATTAGCATCGTTACAGCAGGAAAGAGCCACAGACAGCTTAATGTTACCTATGTTAAGAAAAAAGTACTAAGTTATGATATAATAAAAATATTATATAAAAAAAAAATACTTTCCAAAATACAAAGCCTGTAACAGTTCTTAGGATTTAGCAGCCAGGTATATATTACACAGTTATTAATGGCATATGTATATTTAAGCAATAGCTCACGACAGGCCGTGGTATATGCTCATTATATCACAGCTAAGGGGCGTGGTTCGGCCCGACGTGAAGCAGGCAGTTTGCTTTTCAGCCCAACTGTATACTGTTTATCTCAGACGCGGAGGGATACTGAGTTGTTGTGAAAAGTAACTTACAATTCTACCCGTGGTATACGCTCAGTATACCACGGCTAAGAACCAATCAGATTGCTTGATTTTACTTGTCCGTTTTATAAAATGTATATATTGCACATATAGCACATAGTTTGATGGTATTTAACTACAGCAAGTTACACAATTTACAAGATACAAAATGCAAAACAACACACCTTGTAACGGTTCTAAGGATTAGCAGCCAGTTATAAATTACACAGTTATTAACGGCATATATATATATTGCACATAGTTGATTGGTATTTAGCAGCAAGGGGTGATATAGTCTGTGTTGTGGTGTGTGTAGGGGAGGGGGATTAAGGAGATTACGAGAGGAGGTTAAAACCAGGGGGGTAAATATCTGTGGTCAAGGAAATAATATGTATATATATATATATATATATATATATATTTTTTAATACACATTCAAACCTATTTATTTTACTTAAACCAATCAATTCCTGCACTTTAACTTGTTCTGCATATTGAAGTATGAATGCTTGTTGTTTGTATGTTGTCTTCTCCTGAATGTTGTACGTCTCTTGTTTGTTTTTTTGTATTTTTGATGGCACCTTAAAAAAAAAGGAGTAGCTCTACTCATGTCATTGTACCTGTATAAAAAAAATAGGATAAACTGTATTGTAATTTACAATATCTAACTGTGTTACATAATACATGTTTACAGTTTAAACCGCAATATTTCCCTTACATTTCCAGAGAGGTTTCAAAGTAAAACAAACAGTGACAATGTGTCAGAGGAAGATCCACAATTATTCCTACCCAAAGTGTTTGTGATATTCACTGCTGAGACATCTGCTGCCATACCAATACAGCAGAGGAAATTGAACCGGAGCTTATGTGATGGTTCTTTTGTGTGGTTTATTTTTTAGGAAAAGACGTCCTAGACAATCCACAGACCTTCTTTTTTTTTAACATTTTCTACAAAGAAACATATTGAGTTGGAAAATGTGTTCAACATAGCTTGTGTAAACTGGTCCTTTAAGTCACATGTGTCAAACTTAAGGCCCGGGGGCCAAATCAGGCCCTTGGTGGATTTCATTTCGGCCCGCAGGATAATTTCTAATTACTTTTAGATCTGGCCCGCCGGTATATTGCACGCACACCTTCACTCAATCCTGAGGGTCTCCTCAGCTCAGAGCCTGACCCCAAACATTGATGAACTTGCACCCAAGATGAGATGCCAAGTATCTGGCTTGAACTAGCATCACAGAGCAGCACACTGAGTTTACATGTTTCCTTCTGCACTTTGTTTCTCACAACAACAGGGCATGTTTGGTTTTTTCTTTGAGGGAAATAGTTTTGTTGAAGCTGTTGTTGGCCTGTGGAAAAATGTAATCATAAGAAATGACTGAGGAAAAGCTGCAGATAGAGCCATAAGAAATGAATGCAACTGATTATTTCATGTTTAATGTTGTTTTTATAGGCAATCATTTAAGCTTTGTTAGTTCCAGGTTTAATATGTGCAAGAAGTTCATTTCAATAAGTTTTGCAATAAACATTGAACCAGTCCGGCCCTCGACTAGTACCGATTTTTTTATTTTGGCCCACTGTGTATTTGAGTTTGACACCCCTGCTCTAAGTGTTTATCATGCACCTTTCACATGTCTTAAACCTTGTGAATTGACTAGGGTTTGAAATCAATGTCAATGTCACCTGCTAGATAACAATGCTTGGACGTACAGGCATTTGTGATGACAGACTTATAGGAAGTGATGGTTAAGATGGTGTAGTCATTGTGGAGAGAGGCTTTATGTGGGGCGCACTGTCCCCAGCCTTCCTATTATATGTTGCCCTGTACTTCTTTATAGTGAAATGAGTGTCACACGATGATGCGTCACGGACGACTGTATCTGTCAGTGGATGAAACCATGCATGTCCACCCTGTGTTACCTTCAGTTCGTTCTGTAGCACGATGTCAGAGAGATTTCCATCCCTCTCATCGCTCAGGGATGGACTGGGATTACGTTGCTGTCAGTCAAGAGGGAGAAAAATGATCAGTAAAAAATACTGCGCCTTAGGGAAATGTCACAAGTGTCACAATTCAATTCAATCGTTACCACCCAGGGGAAGAAAAGTCTCACAAAGACACAAAGAACTGTATTAAGCCATCGCTAAAAAAAACGTGTAATGTGGGAATCTCTCTTATTGAAAGCCTTACAGTACTAAGAAAGGGAGTGGGTTTATCCCCTGGAGAGTAAGTGCTATACTGTAACGATAAAAAGCCTCCATACCATTTCAAAGCTGAGCAGCATGCTCTTCAGCCTGTCAATCTCCTCTCTCAGCTCCCTGATCAGCCGAACACTGGCATCCTGCACACAGAGCACAGCACACATTAACCTGCTGAAAGCTTTTATATCAAACATTGAGTGTTGGCACCGCACTATTAACAGCCACTGACCTCATTAACCCGGGGCTTGTTGACAATATTTCTGGCATGTGCAGCATAGCGCAGGGTGCTAAGGGTCTCGTTGTAGCTGTTAGCAGAGGGAGAGACCGCTGCAACACAAACACACACACACACACAGAAATTCACAAGCAAAAGTTACACATAGAAATTAGAACACACATTAATCACATGTAATAAGATTGAGACAAAAACATTACAAAAAACACCTTTCAGACATTGTATGCAGACATTTCTCGCCTTTTATTAACATTATTTGTACAATTGAATTTTCACTATCGATTATTCCTTTCATTTTTTACTTTAAATACATTTTTTGTTTTGAGATTGAAAAATCAAAGCCAAGGTCCTTTTACAATAGTTACATCTCTTGTACTCCATACACTCTTACTATGTGTTAAGTCACTCATTTAAGGGTAATGGAATCAAAACCGACTTAAACTTAAGTTAATTAATTTACTCCAAAGTAAGTTGTACTGATTATATTTGAAATAATTTTCACATACAAGCCTCTACTTTAACAAAACAACTTATGATCCTAATAAACACAGATATTTAAATTAATTGGATTTGCTCAGGTTTCTGCTTGTCATAATACAACTATCCTTTTATAATTGATGTGTTGCATTTTCTCTGAAATCACACTGGGTCCGATATAATAAAATAACAATAACAATTCAAAAAATCTCTTGTACTCACTTGCAATCATGATGGTTTTGGAGTTGCCGCCCAGGCTGTCTTTCAGTAGCCAGGTGAGGACTGAGTCTCTGTATGGGATGAAGCAGTGCCTCCTCCCTCCTCCTCCTCCCCCTCCTCCAGACAGGGAGCTGCTGTGGCTTCCCCCTGTGCTGCCATCGCCCTCAGAGGCCATGCTGTTGATACTCTGGCAGCTGCTGGACATCTGGGAGTTCTGGGCTGCGGAGACAGAGGGAGTAGGAGGAACAAAGGATGAGGGGATTTAAGAAGAGCGTGTCACAGAAGAGAAGTGAATACTGTCGAGATCAAGGAAAAGTATAAAGAATTTTGGAGGTCAACGCTAGATTCATTTCGGAGTAAGAACTGCTTTGTTTTCCAGACAGCGTCACTTGAACTTCAAATGTAAATCATAAGTAGTATGTGAATTTACCAAGAGCAGATATGACGATACCCAAAGTGACCAGAGACTTGTTGATGTTGGAGCCCTCTGTGAGTCTGTCCCTGCAGTAGTGAGGGTCTGCTCTCTCACTGAGAAACACAACACAAACACAACATGAGGTTCATGTCAGTCACAATGATTAAAGAAACATTATTACTATTATTATTATTATTATATTATTACTATTTTGGATCAGCTGCATTCATACTAAAAAAACTTCAATATGTCCAAAACTCAGCTGCCCGCTTGCTCACCTCCACCCGACCACATCACCCCTGTCCTCCATGACCTCCACTGGCTCCCCATCAAACACCGCATTGACTTTAAAATATTACTTTTCACTTTCAAAGCCCTCAACAACCTTGCCCCCCCTCCCCCCTACCTCTGTGACCTCATCCAACGACACACCCCCACCCGTCGCCTCAGGTCTGCTGAAGCTAACCTACCGCAGCCCATCAGGACAAAGCTCCGGACCTGGGGTGACAGGGCCTTCGCAGCAGCCTCCCCCCCACTCTGGAACTCCCTCCCCAGCCACGTCAGATCCGCCAACACTCTCACATCATTCAAACAATCCCTCAAAACTCACCTTTTCACTCTTGCCTTCAACTCCTAATCAACTAACATTACATTACATTTCATTTAGCTGACGCTTTTATCCAAAGCAACTTACAATGACCAATTACAAGGACATTCTCCCTGGAGTAACTAAGGACCAAGTGCCTTACTCAAGGGCACACTAGTGGTGATGTTCCTGGTGGGATTCGAACTCACAACCTTCAGCCCACCTCACTATCCATTAGACCACCACTATCCCTAACCCTAACCCTTATTCCACCTAGCTTAGCACTTTCTACTGTTGTTGTTATTTTGTTTTACTTGCTTGTAAGCGCTTTGAGCACCAGGAAAAGCGCTTTATAAATGTATTATTATTATTATTATCCCAAAAATAAATGTGGAAGTGAAGATTTTTTTAAAACCTAAGGGCAGTAGCAACTATCCACTAGGGGGCAGTTTAGTCAATGACTTTGACTGAAAGCATGTTGAGAAAATAACACAACAAAGGAAATAACAGTTTACCTCCCAGCCAGATCCACCAGGTTAATCTTGCTGACAGTTTCTGAAGGAAGGTTATTTTCAAGGATCGCCTGTGGAGAAAGGGCGAGAGTATTCAGACTGGAATCTACAAATATTGATAAACATTTCACCTGAAAACAGATACTAAAAATATGATCTGCACCCAAAGGAGCACTATTTGGCAAAACTATTAGCAGATTGATTATTAACTGATAGCTCTATGTAAGCGAGAGGAGGACCTGTGTGTACTGGATGGTGAAGATGGCGTGGGACCGGCTGCTGGCGTCGTGGTTGTGGGTTGCCGCGGTGATCCGGTTGGCGATGCCTTCCTCCAAAAGATCCATGGCCTGCTTGCAGTCCGAGACAACGTGCTGTGACAGGTCTGATGGAAACAAAAAGAGAAACAAAACGTTGAGAAAACTAAAAGCACATAGGCCAAGAGAGTTACGTTTTTAAAACAACCTCAATGTTTATTGTTTGACTTGATTTCTAGAGGGGAAATGTGATGGAAAACTCCTTCTAAGTGTAACATTGTGTATCAAGATGCATATAAAACAACGTTTTCAGAGTTAGAAAAACTGCATTTTACAGAATCTTCTTAAAGAAATTGAAAAGTATGAATCTAAAAAGATAAAATAGGATATACAGTATGTTTCAAATGTGTTGGTTAGGCTTGTCTGCCATTGTAATAAGGATACACCAAAAGTAGTAAATAAACAAAATAAATAAAGGTTCACTATGTAGGGCGGTGGTGGCTCAGTCCGTAGGGACTCGGCCTGGGAACCGGAAGGTTACCGGTTCGAATCTCGGAACGACCAAGTAACTACCGAGGTGCCCCTGAGCAAGGTGCTGTCCCCACACCGCTCCCCGAGCGCCAACCTAATGGCTGCTCACTGCTCCTAACACTAGGATGGATCAAATGCAGAGATCTTGTTGCATTGTTGGAGAAGCCTGTGACATAAGATTTTCAACTACATAATTGCTCTGTAGCTATGTCAGTTTGACAATAAAGAACCTTGAACCACTATGTGACACAAGCAGATTGTAGAGATATCTCCCAAACAAAACATGAAACTGAAAGGGACCCGACACTGATAATACTTCAGCAAACATGAAAAACACATTTGGATAAAACAGGGAGATAGAAATGTGAAAAGACAAAACAGGAAATGTCTCATCAATGCTTTGTCACGCTTGATCTGTAACATTTTCCCACAGCGTTGAAAAAGAACCAGCAACAATGTTCTGCTTCCATGCGTGAATCACATCAATTTAACAGGCTGTTAAACGCATCCTCTCTCCCATTACCACAGAGCCTCATTGTGCTGGAACATGTGGGTTACTTATTCCTTGTTTTAAATATGAACATTGCACACAAATATTTGAATTACGTTAGCAGAATTGAGTGGCAGTGAAACCCTGTTTGATGGCCATGTGTTGATGGAGGAGTTAAGGCCTAAATGGGTCCTGAGTGTTCTCCTCTGAGCCACCAGGAAATGACTTCACTTCCTCTGGTCAACTGGGATTTCTCGTGCAACTGACAATGAGTGGATGCAGGGCTTTATACATAGAGATGGGGGCGGATGAGAGGGAGAGGGAAAAAAAGCGGATAAAGAGACATGGGAAGAAATAAAAAAGAGAGAGAGACAAGCTACAGTGTGGGTGTAGAGCCAGGACGGACGCTTCTGGACGAGAGGAACATATCCCATCCCTGACCACATACCACAGTGACTTGTAAACTAAACTTACAAGACACGAGCATTACTCAAAATACTGCACACCATGTTACAAGTCCAAGTCCATAATTTGACAAAATGATGTGCCTGAGTGTTTATGATAGTGTAGGGAGAAGAAGATTTAAAGGGGACCTATTCTGCAAAATCCACTTTTTCATGTCTTTTATACACAAACATGTGATAGAAGAGATTCTGGAAGTTTCAGGAAAAAAGATTCTCTCTCTTTTTGTCCTGATCCATTTATATAAAAACCTGTCTGAAAACGAGCTGATCAGATTTTGGACACTTTATGATGTCATAACGATGTTTTGGCTTGTGTAACCATTAGCCAATCACCAACCAAGGTAACCCCCCCCCCCCACACCTTATCACCTGAATCTCCTCCTAGAGCACCATTGTGAGGGCCTAGGCCCCTTGTCATGTCTGCCGATATCTGGTTTTCTTATGTCTGTTTGTTTTAATCTGTGTATGTTGTTGTCAGTGACGTATTGTCTTATCTTTTGAAATGCCTTTGTGATGTGCTGCAACCCATTTTCCCCTCGGGGACAAATAAACGAATACTACTATACTACTAATACTACTACATGTGTTATTTTTAACCAAATATCTCTCAGAGGGGCGTGGGGAGTGGCTCCTTATTTTCATCTAAAGTAACAGACAGAGAATCAGCACTTTTGAAACAGGGCTGAAACAGAGGGGATTATGGGTAATGCTGCAATGATCTGTTTGGTGTTTGGAGCCAAACACTTCAGAGACATGTTCTGTATATATCTGAGACCCATAATATATTGATGAAAAACAGTATAATAGGGGACCTTTAAGCTTTCATTTCCAATCTCATCTTCAGACCCTTCAAAGCTAAGTGCTTTAGACAAATGCCCCAACTATATGATCCTGCTGAGTGTTTGTATACACTTCTTAAATGATAAATGGATATTTCATAAAGCTCACGGCCAGACCATAATACTCAAGTATGCAGTCCTAATTGATGTCTTAGACATACAGTTGCTGCAAGAATATTTATTTTTTCCTGTGCACAGCTTTGTTATCTTAGTTTCTTAGGTTAATTCTCCTTTGACTGAGGTAAAGGGATTTGAAAGCCTTGTGTAGTTGAGTATTAATCAGTAAGACAGACAGAAAAAGTCAAAAAGCGTAATTAATCTGTTAATTTTGAGCTCAATATTTTTGTGCAATTGCAAATGAAATTAATTTAAATCACAATTCATTATTTTGACTTGCTTTGTGTTTAATGATGCCTTTGTATTTCCCTGTGTACTGTAAGTGCATATCCTGTATGGAGGTGTACAGGTACTTGTCTTTTACAGTGCAAAATGTGTGGGAAAGTGTGATGGTGATTCTACTGCAAGCGTTGTATTGGGAGAATCATCATTTTATGGATCATATAGTAATGGGAAAGGCAAATAAAGTGTGCTTTTTAAAGTCCAGCAGAGTTTACTCCTGGGAATGACAGTCTGTCTTTGCCATCTCCCACTTTACAAAGTACATGTGCAGATGGCACAAACACTCACCTTGTACATACGGTCCTTTCTCAGGGTGTTCTCTCACTCTCAGGGAGGATCTCTTCTTCTGCTCGCCTCCTCTCAGCAGGTCTCGCACACGCTCGTTATAGATCTCCAGGAAGCTGCAGGGATAAGACGACATGTCAATGAGGATCATTTCATGTCAGCAACCTATGTCATATCACATCATGTTTGTTGTTTTTGGAAATCCATCATGTGGCATTTTCCAAAACAACTTTACCTTCCTGGCATTTAGCCTTTAGTGGAAGTTGAAAGTACAGAGAGACAAAGAAGCGGGGGGGGGTCAAAATAACTCAATGGACCCTGGCTTTATGAGAACCGGGTCGTAGTCATGGTTACAGTACATTGTCTGCTTTTGCCAACCAAATGACCCAGAAACATAGACTACATGATGTACACAATAGTATTCAAATCTTTAAAACAAAGCATTTTACTTTCTGATGAATGGTAGGTAAGGTATCAAATCTGCCCTCATTGCCTACAAGAAGTGAATTGATCCATCCAACACTGACAAGAAAATCCAGTTTCTGATTTGCATTGTTTTGCCTGAAGCTTTGCAGCAAGTACTCGTGAAATTTGAATGTCAACACAGGGAAAACCAATAAAAAAATGCAGTAATTAAAAATAAACATTTTAATGAACATCAGTACCTGATCTCCACTCTGCTTGAGTTTTGCTCATCAGGAAAAGTGTCTTCAGACCTAAAGAGACCCTGTCAGAAAAGTTGAAATTTACTTGACACTAAAACATCAAATATTCAAGTAGTTCAGTTATTAGTGAGCTCACCAGGGTTCGGCGATTTGATTGATATTTGGCCTTTTGGTGATTGGCTTTGTCCATCGCCTGGGGATCTTTATATGATTGTCATTTTAATAAGCTAATTCAATGGTCTTCCTGCAAAAAAATGTAACTCGGTATAAAATAACCTGAAAAAGCTGAATTCAACTCAAGGGCAAATAGGAACGGGCAGCTGGAGTTTGGCCATATTATGCATGTTCTTGTTAGAATCATTTCCAAAGAGTCTTTCACACAACAGGGTAATTGGAAAGGTGTCCAAATAGCATTTATTTTCTGTGTGCCAGCATCTTTTTATCAATTGTAACCATTGAGGAGAGAGCGTATATAGAAAAAGTGCTGCACCAAGCATCTTTTTCATGATGCTCTGACTTATTTTTGCAGTGGAAGATTTTCAGGAAGAACAGAGGGCTCCCCAGCGCCCTTATGCCTGAAAAAAAGCACTATAAGAATAGGCTATAGTGGTGGCTGTACGATCGAATGTGAAAACGGAGGTGAAAAGGAACGTCAGTTGTTGGGCTGACAGTTACCGGTTGGAAATAACTTGAATTCTCACCCAACCCTGGTGCTCTTTACATTGATCAAACAATCTAATGAAGGGTATTTTTGTAACTCTGGCACAACAATTTCCTTCGGGATGAATAAAGTCTTATCTTATCTTATCTTATCTTACCTGACAGATCCGAGGAGTCAAGCCAATGGAGTCCTGAGATGATACAAAGAAACAGAAAGTGAGTGTACAGATACGTTTTGACAGTTTCCATGTAGAATTAGGTCGCAGAAAACCTGAGGTCTTCACCAACACCGAGTTATTTTAAGTCGATGACACTACTTTTGGCACCTACCGTATTTACAATGTTGTTTTTAAACTATTCTGTATCTCTTTTAAGCATGGGTTTTATGAATCTGTTATTCCATTATGTTTATTTACTGTGTTCCTTTCTCATGTCTTTCTTATTAAGTGTTAATAATGATGTAAAGCACTTGCCTCTGTGTCTGAAAATGTGCTATATAAATAAATGTAACTTACCTTACCTAATAATTACAGAATATTCACATTTGCCTATTTGCAGCAGAGCATGTTTTTACAATTTGTGTAACAGTTGCTTTGTATTGAATGTGCATTGTGAGATATGTACATAATGCCGTGCAGTGATTCCTCACCGGTGTCCCCATCATGGTGTACGTCTTTCCAGATCCTGTTTGTCCGTAAGCAAATAGACACACGTTGTAGCCCTCAGAGGCTCCGGACAGCACCAACACACCCAGGTCCTGGAACATCTGAGGAACATTAACACACTAAATCAGAAACACACAAACAAAGACTGACTATGAATTAATAACTGGGAGTTCATAGTAATTCATAATGAATAATTCCTTACATTTATTATAGCACTTTTCCAGATGCTCAAAGCGCTTTACAAATACACAATACACAATACACACATATCATACATGTAACGGTCATGTACTGTGGACAGTACCCACAGGAGCAAATTCAGGTGAAGTGTAAGCCGTAACATAGCGGCTTTACAGACGCAGCGGGTTTCGAACTGGTGTTCCCCAACGCCCCCTTGATCTGATGATCAACGCACAGCCCACTGCGCCACTCTGCCCATCTTCACACCTCGAAGTCATCAAGGCAAGGCAAGTTTATTTATATAGCACCTTTCAACAAAAGGCAATTCAAGGTGCTTTACAAAAATGCTTTACAAGTACACATTACACACATATCATACATGTAACGGTCATGTACTGTGGACAGTACCCACAGGAGCAAATTCGAGTGAAGTGTCTTGCCCAAGGACACAACGGCCTGACGCAGTGGCGGCGAGGGCGGGTTTCGAACTGGAGTTCCCCAACGCCACCCTTGATCTGACGATCAACGCACAGCCCACTGCGCTGGATGCTAATTCAATCAATCAATCAATCAGTTCATGGCAATAGTTTTTCCACCAGGCTGTCAGGAGGCTGAAATCTGCCCCCTCTCCGCCCCTGCCCCCACTGGACTATAACTCCCACACACTCAGATCCAGCACCAGACACTTTTTACGCTGCCATGGACAATAATGCACATTCGATGGACAATCTGCACTAATGCACATTCTCAAAATATTGAAGTGACCGTTATGTTGTATATGTTGATTGTTGTGTTTTTATTTAGGTCTTAATGTGTGCACATGTAAAAATGTGTCTTTGACTGTGTATATATATATATACATATTTGCACACATATTTTTATATTTTATATACATTTGTTTTTATATTCGGGATTGTGGGAAACAGTATTGCGATCTCTCTGTCTGTCCACACAAACTGGAAGATTGACAATAAAGTTGACTTTGACTTTGATACCTGCAAACACATGTGAAAGTGTTTTATTAAAAAAGTAGTTGCTCTCATGGCTGTTGGGTGTTTCCAGTGTAAGCCGATGTCCTTGATCTAACATGCATTGTGTTTTTAGTTTTGACATGAGTGTAGATTTACGCCAAGGTTTCTCCATTACAATGCTGTGGCAGCGGGCCAGTGTTGGGGAGGTAATGTTGCTTCCTGCTGAGGTGTTTGGCTAAGGAGCAGGGAGGTCAGTTAATACTCTGGGTAAACAACTTTGCAGAATGTGTGTGAGAGAATCAAATGTGAGAGTAACAAGACTTTGAAAAGCGACTGGGTCAGGAAAATAAACCTTGCATAAAAGCCAGGTGGTGAGACGGGGATCCAGGAGAGTCCCACTGAAAATAATCAATTGAGGGTCTTGTTTTCATTCTCTGTGTGTCTTCAACTGAGAGGCTGCAGATTATTAGCACAAGTCTGCCTTTTTCTATGTGAGAAGTTAAAGGGGACCCATCATGCAAAATGCACCTTTGTACGTCTTTTGTACATGAATATGTGTCCCCGGTGTTCCAGGGAACTCACCAAGTGTCAGAAAACACAACCCTCTCTATTTTCCTCCATGCCCAAATCTCTAAAAAAGGGGCTGCAACGGATCTGATAAAAACTGATCCAGATTTGAACACTGTCCTGACGTCAGGACGGTGGCGCTACGGCTATTGGGCCAACTCCACCAATCAGGAGGAGACAACCACGGCCATTGCTGTTCGAAAGCGCTGGAGACACTGTAGTACATATGCCAGGCCAGTAGATGGTGCTGTTCTCACAGCCCTTGCTAAAAACAGATCTAAAAAATGTCAAATTGAGCAAAATGAGGCATGGCTAAAATGCATGATCTGTTTGGTATTTTGAAAAAAAAAAAAAGTATAAATATGCCTTATATAGGTATGGTCCTACACTATATTATTCAAATATAGCATGATAGGTCCACTTTAAACTAGTGCAAAACAAATCTGTGAAAAGTGAGTGTTTCCAAATGTTTGCAGTAAGAAATTAGTTGTAGTAAGGACAAAACAACACCAAACTTAATACAACATTATTATAAATCCTACCAACATCAAGGTTGTACTGTTCAGATGTTGCCGTTTTATTGAGGTGATGATTCCACTTTATGGGGATTTTGCAGGCTGCAGCTTTAGTGTGTGGTTGATTAATTATTCCAGCTCTATATTTGGCAACATAACTGGTGCTAGGGGCGAAATATGGACCCAATTCACTTTTAGAGCTGACAAACATCCAACCAGCCTATTATAAGTTCCCGGGGAAGAAGTGGCAGCCAACCTGTTTTTCCACGGCATCACAGAGGCGGAGTATTTACAGATACTTATCTTCACATTAACGTTTAAGAAGTGAAATATCTTTGTATTGTGATAAGAACTGACGAATAATGAAACACCTTTCTGCACACGACACATTGTGAATGGTGAGCATTATGGGTGATCTCCCCTTATTGTCGTTATTATAGCTCAGCAGTGACTTTAGCACTTTCAGTGTGTGGACATGTGACTGGTATGAGGTCAGGCAAATGGAAACATGATCATTCTTCTCTATTGTTATGTTTCCATTGTTTAACACTGGAAACTTCATCAGAATGAGTGCCTTGGGACATACAATATATCATATTCCAATCACTTGTATATAGACTCTTATTGCACTATTTCACAATTATTTTTGTATTTACATGCACAATTTGTTCTGTTTTATTGTGTTGCCCTGTTGGAGGAGCCTGTGACCTAAGATTTTCATCGACATAACTACACTGTAGCTACGTACGTATGACAAATAAAAGCCTTGAACCTTGAAGGCCCTGTCAGCAATCCAAAAGCTCCATCCAAATGTAACACATGCCTTGAGGGGGGGGCCAAACAACCTGATCTGGACCAGACCTGAGACACAGCACATTCCCCTGCAGAACCAAAACACCTTGGGGATCAGTGGGGGTCGACTCCCCTAGCCCCTGGGCTCAGGATACTGGTGGGTAAGTACACAGAGGAGAGGGGAGGAACGCTTTCAAAGATACAACGACCTCCACGGGAATCATTGAACATACCTCCCATGTGTGTGACTACAAACGACTGACAGGAGAAGCGAGAACCTGGAGCTTAGCCCGTGTATACTCTAGGTTTACAAAGCGGTGGGAAGAGGTTTACGTTGGATGCTGTTAAAAGCTCTCCAGAAAGTCCCCGGCCTTGTGAAAGCAACCTGAAAAAGATTTGGGTTGTTTTTGGGAGTGTGTGAACCTGAGTGTGTTAATATTCAACAGCCTTGAGATTTCTCTGAGAAAAGGCAAATGTTAAACACGGACACAGGGAATTCACACAGAGACCAATGTCTTATCTGACCACAGAGACCAAGGGATAACGCAAATAAAAACAACACCAAGGTTAGAGACTTGAAATGAGTACCATAAGTCACAAGAATTACTTTGATTTAGAAAGCCAGAGTACATGCAGTAGAAACACAAGTTATTTTAGGGCTACAGCTAAGATGAATTAGTCGTTTAACCTATCAACTGCCTGCAAAAGTGTTTATAAAATGATCTAGGGTTGAAGGGCAACTCAAGATAAGGACTTAATCAAATGTCTTGGTTTGCCCAATAAGTTTAAAACACAATTTAGTTTCACAGAAGACAAAGAAAAAACTGCAATTATTTACAATTTACAAGCTGTGTCCATTGACTAAATTATAGAATAATCCATTCAGCTTTAGGCTCATTGCAGACTGCTTCTTACTGTCATGCAAAGTATTAGTTACATTTTTTGCATTCAGGTTACTGGAATCATTTTACATTTCATCCGTTTCTTGACAAACCTGCTAGTGCTGAAAGGATAGCTGATCATTTGATCCCAATAAGTAGAAGCAGAAATGTCAAATGTTCTGTGATTCCAGCTAAAAATAAATATATATATATATATATAAATATATATACTAAAGGTCCCCTATTACACAGTTTTTCATCAATATATTATAGGTCTCAGATATATACAAAACATGTCTCTGAAGTGTTTGGCTCCAAACACCAAACAGATCATTGCAGCATTACCCATAATCCCCTCTGTTTCAGCCCTGTTTCAAAAGTGCTGATTCTCTGTCTGTTACTTTAGATGAAAATAAGGAGCCACTCCCCACGCCCCTCTGAGAGAGATTTGGTTAAAAAGAACACAATGGTGCTCTAGGAGGAGATTCAGGTGATAAGGTGGTGGGGGGGGTTACCTTGGTTGGTGATTGGCTAATGGTTACACAAGCCAAAAAAATCGTGTTGACATCATAAATTGGCCAAAATCTGATCAGCTGATTTTCAGACAGGTTTTTATATAATGGATCAGGACAAAAAGAGAGAGAATCTTTTTTCCTGAAACTTTCAGAGTCTCTTTTCACAGAGGGGACACATGTTGATGTAGAAAAGACTTGAAAAAGTGGATTCGGCATACTAGGTGACCTTTAATCAAAGAAAATAACTGTTGGCTTAGGTCACCGTTATTCATGTTAAAGTATTTCTCTGTAGCCTAGCCAACCATGTGCAGACATCAGCCACGTGTGACTAGTACAAGTGCTGCCACTAGGGCTGTCGTACTGAATGACCTTCAGTTTCTGTCAACGTACTAATGAAATATTAGACTAATTGCTTCAGCTCTAAGCCTAACTCAATAACCGCTGTTATACTCACTTTCCCAGGGACCCTGCTAAACCAGCCGTGTTTGTGACGTAAATGTAAGCAGCACTACATAAACCTGGACAAAGAAAACACATTTTCTTTTTCTAAATTATATATTTTTGGGGGGAAATTGAAACAATGGGTTCCTTATGCAACTGTTGCCCAATAAAATGTATTGTGAAAAAGTGTGCAGACCCCTTGGAGTCCAGACCACCAAACGTTGCCCCCTGTGTCTTG